ACAAACCAAACACGCATTTATTTGGTTTGATTCAAGTAAACAAAGGTCCGAACATCACATGACCGAAGTATTATGCAATCACACAATGTAATCAGTATAAAATAGCCCCTGAAAGATGGCGTTCGGAGACTTTTAGCGGGGGTCTGTAATAATAAAAAAAAAGTAAAAAATTAAAAATAAGAATTTAATTTATAAAGGAATAGCATTGAAACTAACTATTATAACAAATTAATTAATATTATATCTAAAAGAGTTAAGTATGTAATTAAAGTCTATAGTGATTATACTAGATAGTAAAGATTAATAAAATTTGTAATTTATCATAATTAATATTTTTTTAGATAATACATAATATTGTTATTTGAATTAATAAAAAAAAATTTTTACAAAATTAATAATACTAAGTTTAGGTTTTTCTATAAGATATCTATATTATAAGCTGAATTTAGATTATTACATAAGTGTTTATCAATCTTATTTTATAAATTTTTGATTATATTTAAATTAGAAGATTAGTATAGCTAATCAAATAAGATAATAGAATTATTGTAAAATTATTTTTTAGCTTTTTAAAGTATATTTTAGATTATTATCTTATTAAAAAAATATATGATTTTTATTTAAATTATATTGCTTAAGTATTATTAAAAAACCACTATTTAATATTTGATAATAAAAATTAGCACTTATGATTCATTTAATATTAACTTAATTACTAACTCTATTAGTTGTAAAGCAGCTTTAGACAATTACTCTACTTCTATCAAATTTAACTGTTGGAATAACATGTTGGTCTTTTAAAATTCTATTAGTTTTTTTCAATAATATTGCTAATCATCAGAATTAAATATAAAATATTTTATTTTCATCTGATCAAATAACTTTTTACTAATCTTTAACAATCCAATTTTTAATTTTTTAATCTATTTTAATTATTTTTTTTATGAAATTTTTTTTTAAATAAAGCTTTTTCTTTTTAATTCTAGCAACTAATCCATTTTTTCTAAATATTCTATGCATAGTTTCAGCTGAAATAACAATTTCTTCATCAACTCTAAATTTGGACTACACTTTAATAGCTGTGAAACATTTTTTAGTATGAATATAATGCAAGAGTTTTTATTCATATCTTTCACTTAAGGATTTTAGGCAACCAGATTTAAGTTGATTATCCAAATTTTCAGTTTTATTAAATTTTTTACATATTTATACAACTGATGATTAATTAACACCTTCTTGAGCTGCAACCTCTCTAGTTGAAAATCTCATTTGATAAAGATTATAAATATAAGATCATTTTTCTATTAATATTCAAGGCATTAAAGGTAAAAAAAAATATCAGTTTATGAATTTTTTCATTATGATAAAGCTTTTTATATATACTTTATTATAAAAATTATCTTATATTTTAATGAATTTAATTTTGCGTAGCCTTTTGCTAAAAATCAGTAAAAGAAATGCATGAATTGCATGCAAAGCGAAGATCAATTAAAAAATTTTGCCGGGTGATGCTTTTTTTTTGTGAGCCACGGTAGGTTAAGTAAGGATGCCGAAAATTTCACACGTTAAGTTCGATATCACGTGATGCTTACATAAATAGTGGCTGGTTTCAAAATTTCAAAATTTTATTTTCTTTCTTTTTTAATATAAAACAAAATTTAGCTAACTTTATTATAATGGCAAATAGGAAATTACAAAGTAAGCTTTTTCCATTTTCGCATAAGTTTGATCATTTTGGAAAATTATAAAAAAAAAATTCTTTTTTTTATTGTTAGCCGAGATCGATCGTGTACTTAAGAAAGTGGCGGAAGGAGTTGAAACATTTGAGGGCATTTTCGACAAAATTCAAGCAGCAACCAATTCTAATCAAAAAGAAAAGCTAGAGCAAGATTTGAAGAAGGAAATCAAAAAGCTACAAAGAAATCGAGATCAAATCAAAACATGGATTTCTTCAAATGATATCAAAGATAAACGGGCACTTACTGAAAACAGGCGCTTGATAGAACAGGTTTGGGTTTCATTTTAATATTTTCTTAGGAGGATAAGAGGTGCGATTTTTTTTATTTGGATTATTTTCAGTTGTATATAAGGACCATTTCAAGAGTGTAAAGAATTATTAAATAAAATTAAGTTTAGAATCAAATTACTTTGTATTATCTTTAGATTTGATATGAGTTTATTATTATAACTATGATCATCTAATAAAGTTATAAATCATTTTACAAATTTTTTTTAAAAGAAAAAAATTTATATCAAATGCTTTATTTTCTTTATAAAAATCATGTTTAGCAAATGGAAAAATTCAAAGCATGTGAGAAAGAGATGAAGACAAAGGCTTACTCCAAGGAAGGTCTACAGCAATCAACAAAAATGGATCCAAAAGAGAAAGAAAAAATGGAAACTTGTGAATGGGTAGCAACTCAAATTGATGCTCTAAGTACTCAAATCGAAACTGCTGAGGCTGAAGTAGAACAATTACAAAGTGTTGTGAAAAAAGGTCGAAAGGATTCTCAAAAAGTTGAACGATTGGGTGAAGTGGAGAATATGATAGAAAGACATAAATGGCACGTCAATCGTTTAGAATTAATATTGCGGTTATTAGAAAATGGTAACATTCCCCCAGAAAAGGTATGTATTAAAATAAATGAAATAATATTTATTCATGCCAATATTTCTGTCTTATTTATTTATCTGCTTTAAAGGTCATTCAAATTCAAGAGGATATCAAGTATTATGTTGAAAGCAATCAGGTTGTTATAATTATTGAGACGAATTTTAAATTGATTTATTACTTAAATTTAATCTTTGATGTTTAAGGATCCTGACTTTTCTGAATATGAAAACATATATGATGACTTGAATCTTGAAGAGGAGGAGGAGTTATGGGGTATCACAAATGACGATCATCATAGTAGTCATGACTCTGTGACTGATGGAGGTATTTAACCATTTTTGTAAAATATTAAAAATTTGCAATTATCCAAATATCTTATTTTATTGTATGTTAGGTGTTTCATACACAGAACCAAGGACACCACAAAAAGAGGCAAGGACCTTAATATTAAGATGTAGCATAAAATTTTTGTATAATTGCCTTTTTAGTAACACCATAGTGTATGAATAGCTATCAAGTCCTTCAACTTCACCGACATCAAGAATTGAAAGAATTGTGCCTAAAACTCCAGTTCCTGCTCCATCAATAAGTACGATATTTAAATTTTTATTAATTCCATAGAATTCCATAGCTTAGTATTTGTTTGGTGTAAATGACAATCATTATATAAATTTGTTAAAGATGTGTGGTTGATTTTATTACGTAGATAATAGCACTGTTTTTGATTCAGCTCCTCGACAAAAGGAAGAAGGTATAAATACGTAAATATTATCATTTTAAAGATTAGTGATTAAATATTATGTTTTCATTCTTCAGATAAGCCAAAGCTTCCTCCGATGCCAACGTCGGCTCCAGCTCCGACGACAACATCAGCCTCTACATATACAACTCCCGTATCTACCCCTGCAAATATTGTAACTGTTAATAACCTTCAATCTCCACCGCCCACACCGACCACATTCTCACAGGCGAAGGTTGCACCACCACCTACTTCAGTACAAAACCGAACTATAGCATCAATAGCGGCAAAGCAAGGTAAATCATTTTTGTCCGTATCTAGGTCTCTAATTTATTCCACCACCAACATGCATTAAATTCCTGCATATAGCGACACCGCCAGTGTCATTACCACCAACGCAACCAATAACAATTTCACAACCACCATCACAACCACAACCACAACCACAACCACCGTCACAATTGCCATCACAATCTCAGCCTGCCGGCGATACTAAAAAGGGTTAGAATAAATTATCATTGAAAAATTTTGAAATCAAAAATAATAAATTTTTTTTTTTAGATGTTTCACATGGTTTCGTTGAAATCAATAAACAGCAGTTTTCACAACAAACAAATGATATTCAGGTTATTGACTTTAATAATGCAATTTACTTTATAGTTCTATTATTGTTTTTTATAATTATAATTTTTTTTTTTTTTAGCAAATTCAAACACAAATACCAACATCTTTATTACAACCTATTGTTCAACAGCAAATCAATCCTTTATTATCTCAACCGCAATCGCAAACTCGCGAGAGCATACCTGGAACGCCAACTGCAACCACACAGGTTTGAAATGTTTATGAAATTCATATAATAGAAATATATTTCTATTTTTAATTGAACTTATTATATTTATCTTTATTTTCTAATAGCCTATACAACCTCCATCAGATTCTAGCGCGTCTGAACAAGCTAAACAAGAAAGTTCCAATCAGGAATCAACGTCTTCAGAAAATCGTATACCGGCTGCACTTACAGATTTAGTACGCTCATTTGAGGCAGCTGAAGAGAAATGTAAGCAGCGGGATACTACCTCGCGCTTTTATAATGCTTTTGTTTGAGCTTTGGTTTATCTCTCCTTTTTTTAATTTAAATTCTACATAATTTTTTTTATTTATAAATATATTATAGTTTTGAGTAAGGAAGATGGATTTCATACCCAACAAATGCTTGAAGCGAGTCTTCAATACGTACCAGAAAGCATGGATTCCGAAAGGTAAAATGAATTTGTGATAGTTGAATATTAATAATTTTAATTTTATTCTAAATTATTTTAAATTGTAAATAGACCCAAGTATTATGCACCACGAAATCCATGTCAAACATCGACGTTCTATCCACAGAATCCACCAAATATATTTGATAATCCAGCGTTATTCGAGAAGTTTGATCTCGATACACTCTTTTTCATATTTTACTATCAGCAAGGAACCTATCAACAGTATGTTATAGGATTAATAAATTTATTCAGATAATTGAATCGTTCACCAAATTTTTTCTTTTATTATAAAGATATCTTGCCGCTAGGGAATTAAAGAAACAATCATGGAGATTTCACAAAAAATACTTAACATGGTTCCAAAGACATGAAGAACCAAAGGCAATTACAGATGAATATGAGCAAGGTACATATATTTATTTTGATTATGAAGGTGCTTGGTGCCAACGTAAGAAGACAGAATTTAGGTAAGCCAAAACTTTATTTGTTGACTTATGGTTCTCGACAATTGTATTATATCTAACTTTATATTTATGTTTAGGTTCGAATATCGATTTTTGGAAGATGCAGAATTGATATAAATAATACAGTCAAATGAAATATTTTTACGTAACAATGTTATCATGAAGCCGTATTAGGTTGAAATGTATAAGTAATAATAAAATAATAGATTGTATAAATTACATAATTTACCGAATAATAAACATTTTTAAAATTTAATCACGTGATACAAGTGTGACACTAGCAACTTTCGGCATTGGAACAATTTTTTGAAAATAAAGAATTTTACTAATAATATATATGGGAAGTTTATTAGGAAAATCAGGCTTTTGAGAATTTTTTTTTGATTAAAGATAAAGATCTTATTATATTTTAATTGCAAAAATTCTCAGAAATTGCTTTTTCTAATAATCTTTCCATATGTGTTATAGAAAGCATTTATATAAGTTAGGTGTAAAGATATAATTCGATTAGCTAATCATTCAATATTGTGATTATGTGATCATGTGATCAAATTACAAAAATTGTCTATATTTGGGCTAAATCAGTATTAGGAAATTGGACAATTTTAAACATTTTTGAACAGTTTTAGACAGGTTATGAATACATTTTTCTATGTTCAAAAATGTCTAAAATTGTTCAAATTATTCAATTTCTTAACATTGGATTAGATATTTCTAAAAAATCAATTTTGTAAAATAAGTATTACTAAAAAAAAACAGATATAATTATTATTTTGATCTTATAATTCTTATAATCTGATAAAAATCAGTTGGTTAGTTAAATATATCTTTAAGATTATTTTCACTATTTGAGTAGATATTATGAAGGAAATAGAGATAATAAGTAGAATATATCATATATTATGGTTTTATTATATTGATTTTAATAGGTAAAAACAAATTAGAGTAATTAAGTATAAATAAAATATACTAATATCATTTTATAATATATATATTCAAATAATATTATGCCTTTTTATATCACTCATAAATAAGAAGATATAGTATCATACTATATATAATTGATCCTTTATATAATCATTTACTCTTTTAATACATTTTTATTAAATAATAAACTTATAAAAAATCCTTTTCTATAGTCATATTATATAATTTTTTGGAAAAATCTAAGCAGTGCATGTGTGTATTTAATACACTTTTAGGCACATTTTTATAATAAAATATTTGTCACATCATATTATACTCAAGTTTCTATTTTTATTTTTTATTTAAGAGATTTAGTTTTTTGAGTAATGAAATCTTATTTATTATATATATCTATTTATCATGGTTAAAATTAGTTAGGATTAGATATTAATATATTATTGATTAAATATTATATATATATTATATTATGTATAGATGTATTGAATGCATAATATATTTTTTAATTTATTCTAACTTTTTTATATTATATTTGATTATATTTAATTAGTAATTAGAAAATAATATTTATATATTATATTAATATAAAGTTTATAAAAATTAATTTGCATAATATTAATATAGCAAAGCTATTAAAACTATCCCTTCAAGCGTTTTGCAGGCAAATTTGCCTGCAATTTTATTTAATAATTAAAATTATTTATAATAATTTTAA